TATAATCTGTCATTTACAACAAGCTAAGTTAAACCTTAGCCGACTGATAACATTACGGGATTCAACATTTGACAACAGGCCATGTCGACAATCAAGAAACAAGTGATTATATAATACAATTATATATAATTTAGATACAGTTCGTTTAGGTCTTTCAACAATACAATCTTTATGATTCATATAGGACCACCTGTCTAGATTTCCAACAACTTCTCGTGGGATATTCATATATGATAATTGTTCTGCACATTCCCTCCATCCAGTAGGATTAAAATTCTTTCCTTTCCGTAATACATCATTGATCAGATCGATTATGTTACTGTTTGGGACAGATATTCCATTAATCACTATTTCTCCTCGATCATTCCATGTTACATTTCCATTTGAACGTATCAGGTTTAATAGTATGTCAGCTTTCTTTTTATGTTTTAGAGGTACACTGTCGAAGATATCTAAACTTTCCCGAGTAGGCGATTCCATTTTAATAGGTTCCATAGCTTGCAGTTGAAAGATCTGATGATTTTGTTGCAGCTTATTTAACATCTTAACATTATTATCTGTGGGCAGAGTATTATTATATATGACAGATTTCATATCTTTATCTGTAGAGTTTAAAATTTTAAGAATGGGTCTTTCATAAACTTTAGGTCTATAAAGCGAGTGTACTAGTTCTTTAGGAAGGAGAATTATTCGTTTTGCATGTTCCATCTTGAAGACCAGCAGCTTTATCAACAGCCCATTCTGCTAAACTATCAAATAGTGAAAGTATTGGTGCTACAAGTAATGGTAGAAACCTTTTTATCTGTATTAGTAGGTTCCTTTTCTGTTTAACAGATCTTTTCTTATCAGCCAACGTTCTCAATAATGACTTGTGTCGTCAAAGTTTCTGCTTTTGTATGTTCATCATAAGAACATTACTCTTTAAAAACATTTAAATAACGTTCACAAATACAAGTTGTAAAATCATTGTAAGTTCCAGCAATTATATCTTTAATTTGTTTTCGTGTAGCCTTAGTTAATGCTCGGAGCAAATCCTGGTGTTGTTTAACTCTGGGTGAATAAATAATTCTGGATGAATATATAACAAAAAGAAAGTGTGTTAAAACTATATATAAATATATTTATTTACACATGTAATTATAAATTAATTTACAATCCATTTAGGTATAACATCGACCTATTAAACACTACAATGATAAGTTATTTCATTATTATTAACTGGACAGTGGGGAGTTGATCTATGAAGTTAATTAACTCTGGGACAACCAATTGACTCCAAATTATAGCAGGGAATTTGGAAGAGACTTCTCAACAGTTTAGTAAACACATCTGTAAGATTCTGCCTTAGCAAATTAATGACATTCCACAAAGAGATACACTTGATGGTTCCATCTTCCGAAAATATTTTATGAATATTTATTGTCACCAAGTCATATTGTTTGCAATCTGTGTCTGAAAGACACTGATTCAAAAAAGATTGTTTAAAGAAAAACACGCCTATATAACCACTGTATAAACATTTGAACATTAATTCCTTAAATATGAATAATCCGTTTTTTAATTGAAACCCTTCGACATCTACCATGGCCAAATTCATCACAATGTATGGATATATATCACTTGAGCACGTAAACTACAATCTCATCTCCTGGAAATAAACCTATAACATAACTGGTCTGGAGTTTGCAGTTTCAAATCGATGATTAGGTACCCAAACGGGTGTCGAGTTGATTCTTGGTAGGCTTCTTTGACGTATTTCATTCGTGTCAGAAACATTTGTCTCGCTAAAACATTCAGCCGAGACCTGTCCCTCACATTCTTAAACAAGATTATTTATTGATAGTTTAATTAATGTTATAGATTTCTTTACCCTGATGAAATAGTGTAAGATTAACTAGTGTAACATCTGTTACAATTTTGGTGCTATCGTTTATTAACAAGTAATATTGTTAACAGATGTTACATAGGTTTGTCCTCAGACATACCCCAACGACCCCAGAAAGAGTTAATATAAAGTGTTGCAACTGACTTCCTGACTGGATTAAGCTCTCTGTTAATATTGTTAACAGATGTTACATGGGTTTGTCTTCAGACATACCCCAACGACCCCAGAAAGAGTTAAGATGAAGTGTTGCAACTGACTTCCTGACTGAATTAAACTCTCTGTTAATATTGTTAACAGATGTTACATTTATGTTAAGTAGAGGATAGTAATCTTCTTGTATCATAATAATCGTTTTTGTAGATGAAGCCAAATAATCTCATGAAAACATTTTATTTACTGTAATAAGATAAAATACAGTAACTTTGTCTTATACAATTAAATACCTCTGGAGTAAATGACATAATACTATTATATTGCATATCAAAATACCACCTGGTATTGATGATGTATAATTGACGTAAATATTAGGTCAATACCCTATGCACGTGTTGAAGGCCATGGGTGTTTACTTCTGGCTCCAGAAAAATGTATAATTGAAGGTCAATAGTACGCACAATGGATAATTGAAGGTCATAATTTTAAATTTTCGATGTTGTGATTGGGCACGTGTCGAATTAGGTAAAGGTCATGTTTGTTTATTTCCGGCTCCCAGGTGACGTCTTAACTACTAACCTGCTAGGAATAACCCAATGAACACGTCCAGATTGGTTAGACTGATAAGAGATAAAATAGTAGAAAATTCCAATATTAATTAGCTTGATTAGAGACATCTGTTATTCTAGTGTAAATTTAGATTTTTATCAAAATTTTATAACTTTTCGTCTCATAGCACACTTCATTGTATTATAGAATAGGTTTAAGTGTTTTCACTATAAAGATATTTTACTATTTCTATAACCAATGTTGTTTAGCGTTTGTTGAAAGTGATAAAGTCATAAGGTTAAGAAATTATTTAGATTAAGATATTCACATATTCCCTTGTTTTATTCTGCATTTGTTATGAGTTTCATAATAGTGTGATTTGAAATAAAACGAACCATCTATTCCATCCTTTTACTCACACAATGATCCCATATTTCTTTCGACGTACTCTTGTCCAGGGATACTGATGAGAAACTGGAATAACTCACTAACAAGTTATTAAAATAATGACAAGGTAGTTTTCTCATTTATTTTTGATATTTTAAAAATCTTTTTGCCGAAATAATTCACAAAAGTGAATTAGTAACATCAATGCTGCATATTCATTAAATTTCTATGTAAATATAGGATCACTATGTGAGTAAAAGACATCTGAAAATATCTTATTGTAATATAAATTGTACTAATATGAAGCCTAGTATTATTATTTTGGTTTCAGAGTTTCATATAAAGTGTATTTGGATACTTTTCCTAGTAGAAAAGAGGGCACAACCTGCATGTTTCCTTACTAGGAATGTGAAATGACATAATAAAAACATTTTCACTTGGTCCAGTGTCCAAGGTTTATTTATTGCTCCATATTCTTGAAATTCCTATAAATATATATATAAAGATCACTATGAGTAAAAAGGCATTTCAGCACACCACATATATATATATATATAATTAAGAACTAATTTATTTACATTATAACTCCAGTACTTTACAATATACATGTAAAATATAAATTAATTTCATTTAAAACAATTTATATAGCGATCCTCAACTACGCAAATTAAATGAATACCAAATATCTTAATAAAATAAGCTTAATACAACAATATTAATTGCATACTGCCACATTTCAATAAAGTGGTTGTATAAACCAGATGTATAAACTATCATAAAGAAAAAATTGCAAGTGAGAAACTACTGTACTAATAATAGCAAATGATTTAAATGATGCATTCCCGGAGCTATAGCCCATATACTGTTTGAGGCCAGATGTGGGTATGATAGTGACAACTTACTACTAATTAATACACAGTTATACTATTATCCCCTAATATAGTTTATAAAATAATCATTCAACCTCCACCCATACTAAAAAGTATACAAGCATTGTAAAATACGAGGATGCCAACAATCACCTAGAAAAAGTGATATGCTAGGAATTTTAGGTGTTCTATTACATTTAATTTAAACAAATGAACATTTGATGGTCAACAAAAGGTTTTGAATTTTTAACACATACACACACACACGTGTGTGGATATACATTTTATTATAGAAAACGTATTATAGTATGGGAATAAATTGCTGGTGCTCTAGTTATCTACTGTCCTTTGGACCACTTGAATCTTCACATGGAAGAAGTAAAGCTGCATGATTTAATACAGTACCATGCAAAAGTATTCACCCAATGCGAAGTTTCCATATTTTGTTGCCATTTGATCTTGCAATCACAAAACTTTGAAATGGGACTTTACATTTAGAATCTATACAATCTACTCCACACTGAGAAAGCTAAAAAACGTCGATATTATGGAAGTAAGTTAGATTTTCAAAGAAAGTTATAGTATTCCCAATTACATAAGTATTCAAACCCTTTGCTATGGCAACCCTAAATCAGTCCAGGTGCAAAATATTAGCTTGAAAGATCACAAAATTAGTATAATGGACTCTGTCTCTCTGTGTGTAATCAAAGTGGTTTAACTTGACTGCAGAGTAAAAGCATTTGTCCAAACCACAATCCACATAGTGATACGACAAACCAACCATGAAGACGAAGATGTTCTCGAAATAAGTTAGGGATAAAGTGATAGAGAAGTACAGATCAGGAGAAGATTAGAAGAAAAATTCAATAACACTGATTTTCCCTTTGAGTATGGTGAAGTCCATCATTAAGAAGTGGAATGTGCTTCATACCAAACAGTCACTATCCAGATCAGACCGTCTTTCCAAACTAAGCAGCTGGGCAAGAACTAAACTGTTAAGGCAACAGTTCCATGTCTGAGATGGGAGTCAATGTTCATGTATTAAGAACATCCTGGTCCCTACATAAAGCTAGCATTTATGGGCAAGTGGGAAGAAGGAAGCCATTACTGAAAAAGAATCATCTGAACTCTCGTATGCAGTTTGCAACAAAGCATGTAAATGATACTGTAGATATGTGGCAGAAGGTTTTGTGATCTGACGAGACAAATATTAAGGATTTTGGTCTAAATTCAAAGCATTACATTTGGCGCAAACCCAACACAGCTAGTCACCCAGTCAACACCAGTTCAAGTGTCAAGCATGGTGGTGGAAGTATAATGTTATGGGGATGCTTCTCATCAGCAGCGACTGAAAAGCTTGTCAGGATTGAGGGGAAGATAGATGGTGCAAATTACGGACGAATCCTAGAGGAAAAACCTGCTTGAGTCATCAAGTACAAGGCCAAAGCCACATTGCAGTGGTTTCAAAGGAAGAAAGTGAATATCCTGGAGTAGCATGCTGTTTCATACATAAAGGGTTTTAGAGAAACCTGGGGTCCTGAAGAGCTCAAAGACGAAATTACAGTGACAAGTCACCATATTACTGCTATTTGGAACAGGGTACAAATGTTCATCAAAACATAGAAATATAGAAATGTTTAGGCATCAACATCAATATGTGCCTCTGATGCCACAAGTCTCAACCTGGTGTTAGCGAAGTTGATGCAGATAATATGGGCGAGTTGAAACCGATTTATCCCAAGATATTCGAGATTGTTGCTAAGGGAGACTTGAACCCTTTTTCTAAACATTTCAGGCATATCACTCAGAGACAAATGGTCCTATGTCTAATGTTGTCTTGGCAGACCAGCTCTTGGTTTGATCAAGCTTGTTAGCAAGGAGGAACTTAACGAATAGTACACAGTTGTGGTTGAGTTACACTGACATACTGACCAAATGTAGAATCAAGCTATCCATTAAACCGAGTTCAAGACTCAAAGGAGAGGTGTCACATAGTATTACACCACTTAAGCAGGTGACTTTTCTCATCTCCATGCAAGGTCATATCCCTCTATGGCATAACTATATTTGTGAAAATATGTACATAGATGCGACAAAAGATAGACTACCACACAAAATGACATTATCTTACCTAGGTGTTACAGATATTGTCACATTAACAGAAACAGTATCTTTAGTGAACAGGTTTGAAAAAAGTATTTTGACACATTGTACGAGACAACGAATCCCTGAGCAACTACCTCAGCAGCTATTCCTTTGTGAGATTATCTTCTTGAAGTAACTAAATCATGGAAAACTTATGTCCAGCCAAGAACTACCTAGCCACAAATACATCCTGGTATCTCAACTCAACTGCACTGAATACCAGTCAATGGGTTTCACAGGACCTCTTATTACGATTGTGCTGCATCAAATGCAACCACTTCCTTCTCCCAGATGGTGAATGTGATGTCTACTTTTTTATGACTGCCACCAATTTATCTTTGGAAAAGTAATGTATCCCACACTGGATGTAATTACAGGTCAGAAGGTGCAGTAATGAGATTTAATAAAAAGGTTTGGTGGTCAAACCAATTTATTGTGAGCGAAACCACAGCCAAGGGAACGTGCTTGGAAAAATTTAGTTGTGAGATTCATACAAGTGCCACGAAAACTCTAATCAAATCACCCTTGTGTCATATCAAGCAGTTATAGTAAATCTGCCTCGTATGCCATTTGCTACAGACTTCATTTAGGCAGAAGGTAATCAGTAGATGTCAGTGAAGAGGCACATCTCTAGCTACATAAAAAAAAATTACTCAAAAGACAAAATTGTCCCTGCTCTTGGAAAAGGACTTCCCGTAGAAATATCCATATGAATGTGCAACACATGTACTGCATTTATGTGAAAAAAAGACATTCAATATCCACCATATTGGACCCAACAGTCTGATTGCTGAAAAATTCATAAGCCATGCCTCAGGTCACTTGAAAAGTATGACTTTACATGGAATAGCTGCTTGAAGTATTAAGTGATTGAATGGGCATGCCAATGGAAAAAACTTGTGTACACGTGATCTAAAATGGATTATGAGCTTATAAAATCCAGAAGGGATGATCGCTCACTGAATGATAATGCTGCAAGAGGATAATTGACTGGACCTGCAAAATGGAAATACTAACACACTGTTTCTCCAAATAGTAAAACTAGTCTGTTGATTGAATGGTCTTCCCCTGAAAACCATCATAGAGTAAAAGCCAATAAAGCAGCTGTAATGTTGAAAAGTACAGGAGAAAATATTTCTCCTGGTTGAAGGACAATACAAATGATGCTTCAGAAATTCTGGGAAAAGCAACTGAAGGCCAAAGATTCAGCCTGGTTTCTAGTTGTTAGTCGGCAAGATGAAGCACAACTTTTAAACATCAAGGGACATAACACCACAAATATAGCTTATTTCACTTTAATGAGCAGAATAAATTGTAAATTTGCTATAAATCACTGAGATATGATTCTCATCATACATATATTTAGTGTTCCCCAAACCCTCATGCAAAAAATAGTTAAAACTTTGAACAATATAAAGACAGGAGGCCACTAGAGTGTTAAACATACTCACTTGATAATGTGTAAAAGTAGTTTTACTAACTGTATTTATGCCAAGACTTCTAGTGATGATTGAACTACTTTACTGTATGCAGCCCAGAGAAAAACCTACCCAAAACTGGGAAAAATCAGGCAAAGACAATTTGTTTTCCAATTCAGAGAAACCAGTTACTGGGTATGTTATATTTAAGTTATCTGAACCAAAAACAGTATGGTTGAAAAAAATAATCATACAAGAAAGCGGCCAAATGGCAAGTAACGCATACTTGGGCTATCGTTAATAAAACTGACAAACCTGATTACAAAATAATCTAAACCAATTATACAGTTTACTTTTTTTTAGCAAGCAATGTTAAACTAAATTGCCTTGGCCGCATCTTGAAATCAATTCTTTTAGTTGCTGTTTATATAACAAATAACTATTTTCTTGGCCAAGCTTTTTTTTACAGTCAAGCTTTTTTTTTGGTTTAGATATCATATTATTTTGTAAGATACTACAATTTATCTCATATTGTACGTCAAATAGATATTATTTACGTCTAATACTTTTTATATGAGGCTGAGAGTAATAGTACTGAAGTGATCCAAGCCTTTTTCTCTCGGGATTGGTTTTGTACTTTCGCCTCTTACTGCTATTCCGTACTACACTACGATTAGCCCACTTGGAAGATGTTTGAACAGGATGGCTTAAAGTATATTCATGTGTTAGTGTTTGTTTGATTGCATCATTCTGACAAGGATACACGTATCTAAGCTACACTTAGCTTGGCAACTGGATGTCCAATTGCCGCTTTATCCTGTGCATTCAAAACTGGATATCCAGTTGATGTAATACAGACTGAATATTCACATATTGTGTCAAATGGACCAGCATCTTTATCTCTGCCAGCTGGACATTCAGAAGGCGTGTTAAAGATAATATCAGTTGTAAAATTGGAAGTTACATTTACATTACTACTTTTATTTTCGAACAACATACCTACGTGAGTATACTGATTTTTAATATGCGTATTGCTTTCACAATTAGGAAAACTGTATAAAGACCTGGGCTAGGGTTACTCTCAATGGCACCATCAGTAAAACACTCGTTGCTGTAATATTTCATGTACTTCGCTATGTGGGTGACATACAATGATGACCAGGCAGCCATATCATGCTTACAAGTATCAACGTTTAATTAAGAAAATTAAAGCTTTCAATAGCAGCCCGCCATTGCTCAGTAGAAATCATCACCCCAAGATCTGACAGCTACAAATAGATGCTTTTCTTTAAATACCTGTATAGCTAACTATTCACATATACCTTTGTTATACCTGCAATCAACGAAAACATTCTTGCTAATGTTAGCACAAGGCACACACAACAGGTTAATACCAAACTTCAATAATGAGTAACAGTCAAAACTTGGACAACTCTGATCAAAGTTTTCCAGTCAGCCAGAACCACTTAGAAAGCTTATATATTAGTAGATATATGTGAATAAACTGTGGACAGTAAACACACACCTCTCACTTAGTGAATGATACTAGAATATAAGAAAGTCCTATGATTATATGGTTAGCATGAACTACAGTGCACAAGAGTATTTAGGATTTTGTGTATGAAAAGTCATCCTATGAATTAAACTTACTAGCAAATCTATTAATTTGGACAAAGAAGTAATGGCTGCCAACGACTAATTAAAACTCGCAAGTCTCGCGTGTTTACACAGGGACCCAGTCAAAATTATACCCATTTGGCACAACGATTTAAAATTTTACAAGCACTTTACAAGGAAACTTACTCGTCAGAATTACACGAAATTTTGCACAAAAACAAAAGTAATCGTATTGGTTATCCCTGTAAAGATGAACAGAATTTTAAATGTAGATTTTGTTTTAGATAAAACTAGCCCTGTAGGCCACAAAATGTTTGTTTCGAGCCACAGACATTGTTGCTAGAACATGAAGGAAGTAGTAATATTAATTTCAAAGCAATTTATATCTATTTCGAATATAAATATCAATTTGGGTGAGGTACTTAGGACTATCTTCAAAATATATATAGTAACGATCTAATTCACGTAATAATTCGTTTTGTGCCTATTTTCCGCGAAATAATTTAGCGAGCTACATAGGAGTCTATCAGATAATGTTTCCAGATTTGCAATTTTGTGAATGATTTTTTATTATGTAGATCTTGATCCTTTGTATACTGTTGTAAGTAAAAAATTATGTATTGTTTGTAATTTATTCTTAATGTGTTTGATGCCACGTTTACCCATGCGGGACATGCATGTTCAATAACAGGACGTACGTATGTTTTGTATATTCTGATTATGTTGTCGACTGATGTTCCAGTGTTTCTACCCAGTGGCGGACCTACATTTTTAGGGCCCTGAACTGTTATGGGGG